AAGTACAACAAAATCTGACAGACTTTGTAATACCTGTAAAAGATCTAGTGGCTAGTATATTAGTCAAGTACGTCATTACTTTTACACAGTAGAGCCCATCGGGTCCACGATTTTTTGGACCCGGACCTTACCCGGACTCGTGCGATAAAATTTCTTTTTATTAGGATAATTTGGTTCAGATAATTTATGTTGTTCGATTTATAGATTTATTATGGTAATTAGATTCAGATACTACGATCAGAAAGTTTTGTTGATTTTTTTCTATTATTTTTATAAATAAATTAAAGACTTTTTGAATGAAACGAGTAAAAAATTGAAGAAATTCAAAAAAATATCATTATGTGCATCACATATTTCTTCCGATCCGGACCCGGTCAGAAAAAGTTTCGATACCCGGACCCTAACTCGGATCCGGTCAAAACAAGATTTTCAGATCCGGACCCGATGGGCTCTATTACACAGTCAAATGAGGGAAATATTCATATTAAAGCTCCAAATTGAAAGCAATTTAGACAAAAATGTTTCCAGAGATCGTCTAGGGATCTTCTGAAAATCTTTTGAAAAACGTAATTTTATGTGCACTGAATTTTACACCGTTTTTTACGTCTATGCTTATACGTTCACAAAATTTCAATGAAAATACAAGTTTTTACTCGAAATTGACCACCCTCATTTCTGTGCAGAAAATTCAAGAAAAAAAGAAAGTCTAGTTTTTCATTAAAGATACAATATTTTCAGAAAAGCGATCCATGCTTCTTCCTCCACTGGTATGATGATTCGAATGAAGATAAGAAAAAAATTCATCTCTTAATCAGTAAAACCCGATAGGTTTCCACGACGAATAGGATGCTTATATCTCCACGAAAACTCATCGAAAGATTCTGAAAAACGTCTCATTGTGTAGAAAACACTTTCTTCCATCAGACTATGTGTACGAAAAATTTTGAATGTACTGGAAAGAAGAGAAAAGTTTATGAAACTGAAAAATAGAGCTTTTTATACTTTGAAGGAAAAGCTTCAAAAATGCATCACTTTCTGAAGAAAGGTAGTGGATTGTTGGAAGTGGTGTTATTTCGTAGCCCACACTTTACTATATATCAGTATATAGTCAGCTCAAAATCTGAAATGTTTTTAGAAAAGAGAGATGGGTTACCCTCACTGACGTTCAAAACGAGTCATTATTTTTAGAGTTTTCCAACTAATTCACTGTGAATTTCGTTTGTGATACTTCATAACTTTCCTCGTGAAGAATAACAATATCCGAATTCATGGGATTATACATATGCTTGAAACTGGAAAATGAATAACATTAAAAGACTATCATTTATTAATGACTGATAAACAATCACAAAGACTTCTAAAAAAAGAAGCTTTAGCCATAAAAAGCTTAAATCCCACTCTAAATAAGACAGTTGCATCAACACTCCTTTACATTTATCCACTAGGCATACCCTCAACCTTTATACCTGATCCTGGAGGTTATAGGAAAAAGAATCCAAAAAAATTTTTAACACAAAAACTGCAATAGACATTCCATAGTAACAATACATACATGCGACAAGTTTTTGTATTTTTAGCTTTGTAATCGTTTTTAACAATTTTGTTTTCAAATCTTGAAAATGAGTTCATGTGAACTCGAAACGTCGAAAGAAAATAAATTTATTGAAACCGCTGTAAAAACAACTACTAAGAACTAACAGTTGTTATTCAGAACATTTTAGATTGTTTATGTAACATTAACGGTGATGATGAGTCGTACTTGACATTTTTTTGTTTTCTTTTGTAAATTAGTATTTGTATTTTTTCTTTTCTTCCACAAATACACCAGATTGAAGACAAACATATATATAATATAGTGAAGCAAATAAAATGATTTTTCAGTTATCGCTTATGATCGATTTTGGTTCAATCGGTGGACGGAAACTGTTGCATGCCAAAACATGGCACTTCTAAGATACTTTTTCTGACCATTGTCACAAATGTCAGAAAATTCTCCGACAGTTGTCGATGCTTTAATAGAATTATCTTTTTCTTGATAAAAGCAACCGTCCAGAACAGTTAAACGAGAATGAAACAGGATGAACACTTTTTACGTTCAGGTACATACTTTTCATGATATCTCACTGATTCAGAAACATTCATTTGAAGGTAGTCAAGAATCGAATGGGTGTGTATCTGTTTATTACCAGAACTGATATTAAAGATTTATTGAATTTAGCTTTAAAAAACAGTTATTTTCAATTTAATGGTAAATTTTATAAACAAAAAATAGGTTTAACTATGGGTAATACATTATCACCAATATTGGCTGACATTTATATGGACGATTATCAACAACAACATCTACATCAAGTCAACAGCCCAAATAAAATCTGGAGATATGTTGATGATGTTTTGATCATCACAATTATGAATCAAGTCATGGAAAATTCATTAAAACAAATATTGTTAAAACATGACTACAAGATTTTAGAAAAAACACAAGATGATCATGATAAAGAAGAAGATTTAAATAAATTAAAAAACATGTTATTAAAATTAAAATTATCCATTAAAATAAATTGAAAAATTAATAAGACAAGCATGTGAAGAATTTAAATTAAATAGTAATTAAATATAAATTAATCGATCATTAAAAGCTCCATCAAAATCTGCTGTTTACCAAATTCCTTCTTCGTGCAAACAAACATATGTTGGAAATACGTACTATTAAAATTTCAATGTTTATTTGATACAAA